AGGATCTATAGGTCGAATAATAATGTATATTACTCAAGGGAGATAGAAATTATGGCACGAGGCGACAGAGCGCGTTGCGTGAATTCTGCAACTATATTCGGTAATCGCTATTCACACTCGGAGCGACCACAATTACTCTCCCGGAGTTGTATAACGCAATGCACGGTCACGTACGACGCGACGCGACGCGACGCGACGCATGGATGAGTATTCCGCAAAATTCGTATAAGCTCCTCCGCATTGTGCCCGTCGTATATATACGGTACGGTATATCTACTGACTCCGCGCGCACGGTGAGGTTTCCCGCGGCTTTCTGCCCATATTATAGAACTCGCCGCAAACATTCTACCCCTTGCTGCTTGTTTGCGCGACCGCATTGCTGAAACATGCAGTCGCTGTGATATCAGCGGGAGAAAAGTCGCTTTCGTTCGACCGCAATGTTAGGAACGTTGCACCGCGTAGCGTGTGACCGCTTCATTACAACTTCGTGCCGAAAATACGAACTTTAATAAGTGGAGGGAAGAAATTTTAAAATGCGTCTCGAAAGAATATCACCTCTCTGATATCCGCGCGTTACCGTTTCAACGTTGGTTATACGGAATATTTAAATCAAGTGATCTTGGTATCTCATATTTGTCTGAAATTATTTCTTCAACAAGTTTGCTGCATTTTTTTTTTTTTTTATAATTGTTAGACGGGGAATTGGATTGAAAAGTTGTTATTTATCTTTCGTAATAAAATATTACCGAAGTTACTTACTAGTCCCATTTAATCCTTTATATCCCGGCAATATTGATACGCTCGACGTGATATTAAATTAAAAGGTATAAAAAGTCGCAGTCTCAGTATCGCGGAACGTAGTCTACTGTCACTTTTGAGCTCGAAATTTCGAATTAACGAACTTTGAAATAAATGTCCGTAGCGCATATTCATAAGATGACAGGGGCAATCACGGACCTGGGAACTAATTAAATCGTTGTGCACCACCGCCGCGATATTCGCGCGAAATTCGTCGCCACGACGGGACGAATTTCCGCGTTGTTAGTATTCATATTAATCACGCTTGGGCTAGTCGACTGCAATTCATCCAACTCGAAAAAAGCAATCTCGTGTGTTAGCATATTACTAATACATTAGCTATTTGTTTAGGTCGTCGTCCTGCACCCTGGCACATATCTCGTATATATATACGTATTTCCCAGCGGAAAATTATTTTTCATATAAAATATTTATAAATTCTTCATAAGTTCGTGGCGTGTTTTTCGAAAAATACATTTCATATAAAATAACAAATATCATTAATTTTGAGATTCCAAGTTATTTGAAAAAATATCCAAATTCTTGAACGATACACACAGAATAGTTATTTATGTAACGACAAAAAAAATGTACAGTTATTTTCATTCGTTTAGCAAATACAAATACGATGCAACAATTTTCACTCTTACGCGTATCGTATTTTTTTCTTGCCCAAATCTTACAATTGTCCTAGTTTTGAAGAAAAACCCCGACAGCATCTACGCACGGCGCGGATAAGTATGTATCTAGACGAGCGTTTCATCTCTATTGCTTCGCCGTGTGTATTCCCATGTTTCAACGTGAATACACACGAATGCGGTGTTTACTGACGCAATATGCCGAATCCCGTATTTGCGTTACTATGGAATATGTTGGTCCCAGGCGATACGAATCACTGATTTTACACATACGTTTCTGGATGCCGAATTGCTTTCGACCAGCGTGCGCTCGGATTGGCACAGAAAATAGAATATAACACGTTTTGTTCCACAAGCGTTTTCATTCGATTTAATTTAATCATCTCTTTAATCAATTTCTCTTGTACATCGCAGTGTCTCCCTAATAAAAGTTAGTCGTAGAAAATATGGTATCAAATTTTTATTTAAATCACTTTTATCTCAAAAATTTACATATAATACTGCAATATAGCGAATGAAATAATAATAGAATCTTTCATTCTCTTTAATTTGCAACATATAAAAAAAATTTGCCACATATAAAAGTCTGTGAAAATTCGTTTATATAATTGTACAAAAACAAATGTAAATTATAAAAATTATACTTTCTCCAATACATTAAGAATTTACTAATTTAAATCATTTTTAAAAATCAAAAGTTGTATTTTAAATATATTTTTCTGATAATCAGAAGGCTTTTATAGAAGAAATAAAGAATATTTTCTCTCGAAAAGTTGCAATTTTTTGCATTTTTTCTTTCGTATGATTCTATACACATATCAAACTAGACAAATTTTACACATCTTACAATTATGGTAAAATGCATGTTTCAAAATTTTGCAGTCTATTTGTTTTAGTTTGAAAGTAAAATTTGAAACCAGACGATACAGGAAGAAACATCGTTGCCGATTGAAATCCAGATCTAGCAAATCAGGCTAGATCTAGCTTAATCAAGCAAAATCAGTTTTCGATTTCGTCGTAAATACATTACGTAGCGAGCTCTTCACGGATCGAAGAGTCAAAGTTCCGAATGTACTCCTCGCATTCGTGGCATTCGCATTTTGGCGAAGCGAGTTTCCGGGATTTTCTCGCATTTTTCGCAAGTTAGAGGTAAAAGCCGCCAATTGCCGTGCTTTCCACTTCTCCATCCTCGGCGAACTTGATGGAGTGACTGTAACTCAACGTGTCGAACCAACAGCTGCGCGGCGAAACTTCCAAGTCCAGTTATACAATAGGAAGGGGAAGCCGTTTCTACCGGGCGCAAAAGAAAAGGGGCCGAGAAAAGCGAGGAAAGCGCGAGCGGAGAATCGCCTGTGTTTTCCGCTCCATTTGCTATTTCTTTCATAATGCGTACACAGTCGACTTTTTCGCGGTCATCGTCACTTGTACTTTGCCATCCGAGGCCATTCAGCGCCGCGTGGACCGCATCTCTCCATTGGACGTTCGTTCCTTAAGAGTCGAGCATCCATTTATTGAGTTTTTTCGAGCGGAAAAATTTTCCAGCGCACTTCCCTCTTTCGGAGGCAAGAAAGCCGTTCATCGACAGACGTTTTCCAGAACAATGTCGTACAACGGCACAACGAGATATCGTATAGATTTTGTATTGCATGAAAATAGATTTTCTTGTTTAAAAGAAAATATAATTTAAGGGGATCCTAAATGCTCTTGAAAAGTCTGTTGTTTCTTTCCTGTTTTATCTTGTTTCATTTTAAATGGGAGGTTAGATAAATTATGAATCTATTTATTGGCTAATGTTAAAACTTTAAATCTTTCTCATGTACAAATTAAAGTATTAAGATTAACAAAAGGCAAAGCGTTCTAATTTCGGGTAAAAAACCATCCGTTTAGGATCCCCTTAATGCATTATATTCTTTGAAAACAAAAACAATTTTGTCACCGATAATTCTTCGAGATTTTATATTCTCAAATGCGCAAAAGTTTTCAAATCTGAAATTATCTATCTCATTAATAGTTTCTTTCTTTTTCTCGAAAGAGATGTTCAATTTTCGAAAATTTTGCACAGAAAGTTCCATCTTATCACAAACTCTAGCTAAGGAACAACCGTTAGCGGGGGCATGCACCTCAATCTCAAGGAAACTATTCGAACTACGTGCTACATTTTGATATCAAGCCGTAAAGCGGATCGAACTCGAGTTAAATTTCTAAGCGTAACTAATGCAACTTTATGAAACTCGTGCGCTCCAACCATGCCGCTGTTACGCGCTCAATGCGCGCACGCTTCTGGTTTCCCTCTATACAACATGCATTTCCTTCGTATATAAGCTTTGTGTCAACATAAGCCAAACAAGGTGCAGCGCAGAGTGACCTCTACGGTTGAATAAGGAACGAACCGGGATGTTAACGCGTTCCGCATTTGGCTGGAAAATTTTTGCAGAAGGAGTTAAAAGGGTCACGAAAAAAAAAAAAAAAACTGTCCTAGGAGAATTATTTCCATTTAACGGCTCGACTCCGGTTTCCGCCCAGTCCTCGCAAGCAGTCACGCGGGTATGATAACGAGACGTTCGCAATTATTCAGCGGCGATAATTATGGCGAGTTATTTCGTCGACGATGACGCAATTTGCCATGTCACGTCGGCCGATTTTTCAATCCCGCGAGCTTTTTTTCGGCGAGATCTCCTCTTTGACGAGGGGTTTGGAATCCCCAGGAAGCTTAATGAGGCCGTCTGAGTTTCCCCACGAGACGTCGGAGAAAAATATCTCGTGTATATTAATATGCAAGCGAGGGAGAAATCTTTGATTGTGCATGCGACACTCGAAGTTTGCCAATAGAAATCTATACTTTCTCTGATAATACGAGGCACCCAAAATTTGAAAATTAATAAAAGAATAGCTAAAAGGTAGCACTTTCAAGAACATACTCTATATATATATATATATATCTACATTAAAAGATCTCAACTATACACATATTTAACACATATTTAATCGGATTATATTAAATAAATAAATATAATAAAAACGTTTGACTAAAAATAATGCTGTAAATATTTTTACTTAATTAAATTAAGACCGGTTAGACTGGTTCTATTTTTATAAACCACTTAGAATGAAAAATACCTACATATGTACTCTACGATGTATATTTGCAGTTTTGCTCGAGTTATATTTGATGTTTGCATGTTTTCTATGAAGCTGACAAAGATCTTTGTACATAGTCAGGACCGCATGCAAATATTCCTAGCAATATACAAACAAACAACAGTTCAAGAAAATATAAAATATCGAAAATGTTAGAAAATATAAAATATAAAACTTGTACACATTATTTCTAGAAAACTGTCAAATATATTATTTACAAACAATATATATACATATATATATATATATATATATATATATATATATACATATACATATGTATATATAATATACATATATACATATATAAAATTATGGAAAATTGCATATCGTTTTTTTTATCTAAAAATAAATTTAAATATAAATAAAATATTTGTTAAAATTGTAACAGGAATAATTTCTTTAACCAAATGCTTTTTATTTCAGATACCAGTGGAACGGCCATGTGATTGCAAGAAAATTACAGTCGTACTAATTAAACTTTACATCAGTAAGTGCAGATAACTCGAGAAATACATTTTGCAGACTTCTCCGTTTCTAATTTACAAATATCCTTAAGGAAAGTTTACAGACGTAAAATATATTATTCAGACGAAAATGTTTAAAAAAAATTGGAAAATCAAACTATTCGACAACCTCTTGCATTGATTCTTTCTTATAATATATATATATCGAATCGTCGAGATAATTAAAATCAAATAAAGAGACGAAAGTGAGATAAGATACGGTACAAAATAACGAGGCAGCTCTATTACAGCCGACGAGACGAATTGGCAACTGGGGATTAAAATAACCCTGTGTTACTTCAAAAATATTGGCCAAGGGAAATTGATATCAAACATAAATGCCTGAAATTGGTTAGTATCGATTGTTAGATATTCATTCGGCCGTGTCCGCAAACGCTATTGGAATTCAATAATTTATTACAATTCCAATTTTCCTCGTTTTCTTTCGCTTCGCGGCTGTCAGAATATTCCATTCTAGATAAGGTAGATTTCTTATTTTTTAATCGATTCATAATCTTAAAATGTTTCATTATTATCAATGATAAAGTAGAAGCTTATTTCCATAAAGTAAAATTCTGTTTCCAATCATCAGGAAAAATGATAAAAAAAAAAGTTTTCTCAAATAACTTGTTTGAAATCATTGTTCTAAAATAAAAGATTCATATCACATCAATTTCTTTAATTAATAAATTGATTGTAAATGACTGAAATGATTAATTTGTAGGACGTTTTAAAGCATGTTTAACATTAGTATTACACATTTCTAACTCGCGAGTCAGTATGTTTATTCGTTTCTTATCTCGCTCTGCTTCCAAAGGATGCGCAAAGAGCCACGATATTAATTCACACACCCTTAAACTCCAAAGACGCTCCTATAAGCGGGTGTAACTTCAGCAAAGTGACTTCAAGCATGCAACGAGAAAGTGAACTAATGCCGGTGCCTTCTAATTGATGTTCCCTAATTGAAATAATGTCTTACCATTGCCTCTGGCCGAGTTCTCGCCGTAATATCTACGAAATTCACAGGAGCGCAATTTATTTCTTGCATTCATTTGGAATCTTAATTTTCATTTCCCGGGGTTTCGAATCGTTGTAATTATACGTTGATCCACCGAGTCGTGCGGCAGAGGTGGAATTAAAGAATCGAGAAAGTACTCAGCACAAAATACCGAGCTTCTTTCTCTCCCTTCGCTTTTGATTCACTCGCACGACCGGGCTGATGATTATGCCGTGCTACAGCGAATAATAAGCGACAGAAGTTTTCGCTTCTTCCACCATTGCGAGCTATTCATTGCGGCCAGTCGGATAAATTATTTATTCTGTGCCAGAAACTTTAAGCGAAAAACGGATGGTGGAAAGAATTCCCGCGTGCCTCTCGGTATTCTCACAATTTATTTCGATTCGCGAGCTACAAGGGATGAATTTACCAGTTGAAATTCGCGTGTAAACCTAAAAAAAATGTAACTCTTACAGACTTGCAACTCTCACAATAGATTGCACGAAACGTCTCAACCGAAATGCGCTCAGTTGTAGCACCTAGAAATTCTACAAAATGTAGTAATAACAAATAACAATGTGTAGTGCGATTAATAAGAAAGAAATATTATTTCACCTCGAGTTTTGTATGTTATACACGAGTGGAATTACATACCTATAGATGTAATAGATGTTTGAATGAAAAATATATTTTTTTTGCTTGACATGTAAAACATTTATCGAAATAAGACAAAATATCAATAAGTAAATTTTATGTGGTAAAAATGTTTTCGGTTGCGTTAAAATGTCATAACGGAAAGTTCAAATGTCTCTTTAGGGAGGCAATTTAAGTAAATTTCAGTCCTGAATTTGAGCATTCTTTGAAAGCACTTACGACGTTACTTCGTCATTCCAAACGAATCTCCCGAATGGTTCAGAATGAAGCTCTTGAATGGTAAAATCTTTCCGCGTTCCCGTTCCCACAATTTAGTTCAGAGAAACGAGAGATGAATTTATTAGTTATAAATCGTGCAAAAAATTCTTATAAGCGCTACTGATGTTTTACTGTTCATTAGAATCTACGATTAAATTTTATTCTTATGCATAATCCTATTTTTCATATCTTATTCTTGCATCATAAATCACATGCTGAAAAAATACGAGATCTAATCGAGTTAAGAGAGCAAAGTTTTCACAAAAGCAGCGAATAAAAAAAATACATCAATAATTTAAATTATAATTATGCATAAAGCATAATATTTTATATGCGCGAGTACATATAGTATAAAGCGATTATATTTTTGACAATAAACCCCTAGAATGTAGAATTGATAATTCTCACAGACATTAACGTTCATCATAAAGTCGAAAAAAAAAAGATGAAACCAAAATCCAGTAATTCAGCGTGTAAGTCTAAAATATGTTCACACCGTGGCACGAAACACGGAAGACAAATTTCGGTATGCGGGAGCAAAAGAAAATTGGACATCCCGGAAACGCCGGGATGTGTACGCGATCTGCGCTATAATTCAATCCAATCTCTACAAACAACGGTTTGGCCTGTTGAGAGATCCGACACCGATGTTGCACCGGTTGCAGTCATATTTTACGGTCGTTTTCGCAGCATCGGGCAACTGGGAACTAAAGGAAGGAAAAGCCGAGATTAGACGCGAGCGTCGAAGACAATCCGCGGTCACGTCGCATTTCTCTGCAATGCGATACGATACGATACGACGCGACGCGACGCGAAACGTCGCGTCGGTCAGACAATTTGCAAATAGTCGGCGTGTGTTGGGCGAAAATTTACGACGCGCCAGAGATATTTCATTATAGGTTTTCATGGACGTCGCGTTGCGCGGTCCGCGCACACACATGTACACTCCGGGGGTAATATATGTCCTCACGTACCACATAACACATCTCGCGTATGTGCAACGCGTGTCCGCGCGAACTCGCTCGACTTGAACTCCTGGTCACGTACTCGTGATAAATGCAATAACATATAAACTGTGGCGAGAATTAGAGCCCCATGGCGATTTATCGAGGGTTTTCGCTTTCTCCATTTCCCACCCTTTTCTCTGTTTTTCTCTCTCTTTCGTTTTCTCTCCATCTCTATCTATTTATCTATCTACATCCCTTTCTCTCTCTCAAGAGACTACCGAGGCCGGTGGCCAGTGGCGGGTTAGTAAAACTCGCCGTCTACAGCCGTATCGTGAAAGTTTCGCGAATCACCGGCAATCCACGTCGATTTATGCGAGTCGTAAATAAAAAAAAAAAAAAGAAGAAGCGAACGACGGAAGAGAGGGCGGAAAACCGCCTTGAGCTCTGACAAATTGGTTCCTGGAAATTTCAAGCCCCCTCTCTAGAATTTAGCCACTCGAAGCGTTGCGGCTACCGGAGTGCGGGAAATTGAGTCGTGCTACCAATCGGAACTCAAGGCTTTTGCCGAAGACGAAAGAAGAATGTGCATTCGACATGTGCGCACGTTGAATAATTTCGCGAGCGTCGAGGCGGATTCCTTGTCGCCTCTCGCCGAAAGCTGCGAAAGATTGACGTGTTCTTTCAAATAAAGAAGAGAAAGAGAATGAGAGAGAAAGAGAAATGCAAAGAGACAGAGAGAGAGAGAGAGAGAGAGAAATCAGTTCTAATATATATATATATATTTATATAATTTTTGAATAATATATATTAATCGCGAATTCAATTAAATTCAATATTACTCTATTTTATACTTTGAAATATATTAATAATAAAATATGATGTAATAATATTATTAATATTATATAATATTACAATAACAGCTATTAATGTGATATAGGAAATTATATTATTGATATAATAAATTAATAGATGAGACCCCGCAAATTTTTTGCTAAATATCTCATTAATATAAATGCATGCATAGAATGTCAAAGTTAATTGTAACTAGAAATGAAATGAAAAATTAAATTTAAAGTGTAAGACAGGCAATAAGAAAAATTAAAATGCATGAAAAAGTTTGCGCATTAATCATTAATAACATATCAAAGATTATATTTTTAGAACAATGAAGAAAGCGTTGTAAAAATCGCGAAAGTCTACATCGGAGACAGACAATAGAATTGGTTAGATCAAAGTTGAAGTGCGGAAAATTAGGTGTCAACCTGGAAGAAGAAAAACAACAGACAGTACTCATTGTTCCTATGCATTCATCTTTCGCTATCTAAATACTAATATTTTTTCACGACTTGACAGATTCGATTAGTGTCTCTTTGCGATTCTTTTATATTCATATATTTTTTCATCTTTGGTCAATCTTTTTCGTGGCTCTCTCGCACACGTACACACACACATACATTTATTGCCTTCAGGTACCTAAATCAAAACAATTTATTCATTTATTCACGTCATGGTCTTCTGTAATGAAACTTCTTTCATAATAAAAAAATAAGTCAGATATTTGGAAATTTCATAATGTTCTGACTAACTTTATCTACTTTTGATTAATAGATAATGCTTTTTAATTTTTCATACTTAAAGAATAAGTAGTTTAATTTTTGTCACAATATAAGAGTTCCTTTCTTCCTTTATTTATTCCTTTTATCAATCGTTTGTTATCCTGTAATATCTGCTTTATTAGAAAGAGATCGCATTAAGATTAAATCGCGCGAGAAGCAGTGGACAAGAGTCGTTTCGAGCTTTTGAACATTTAGGCAGATGAATGATTAATATTGTCTTTGCCTAGGAGAAGCCTCGAGCGCGAAATCCAGAGTTCCTACAATATATCGAGATTGCGAAGCGTAATCTCGAGAGGTGTCGATGTAATCGAAAGCAGCAATTTAACGTGCCCGGGTTATGGCACTAGATAAGGATAGGTTTACGTGGGTGCATATATACAGGAGTGCTGGATGCAGCTTCGATTACACGGCTATAGGCGCCTACAACCTCCACACTTTGATCCTTTGTGTACGTTGCATATCTGGAGAGACTCTTGTGCAAATTACGCTCAACTACACAGGACGCCGGCTTCATAAGAATACTCGACAACTCGATGAAAGCGAACACATCGCGAGTGCTTTTCTGTCGAGAAGATAGTCCGTGTTCGATAATTTTATACTCCTGCGAGAGAGGAATCATGGTGATTCAATGAATCGATAAGTACATTGTGCATCTCAAGCATTTTATGTTATCAAAAATTAATATTATTTTAAGTATTCCTTTATAATTTTTTTAAAGCAAATTATAATAAGAATAATAGAGATAATAATTGGTATAAATGTAACGTACCATGCATCTCAAACATTTTATGTTATCAAAAATTAATATTATTTTAAGTATTCCTTTATAATTTTTTTAAAGCAAATTATAATAAGAATAATAGAGATAATAATTATTATAATTAATAAGAATAATAGAGATAATAATTATTATAAATGTAACGTACCATGCATCTCAAACATTTTATGTTATCAAAAATTAATATTATTTTAAGTATTCCTTTATAATTTTTTTAAAGCAAATTATAATAAGAATAATAGAGAT